ATCTATGTTCTATAGTATAATTAAATTCTTGCAAAAACATTGCCCATCTAGCTACTCGTGGCGGAACGTCTTTCTTCCTTAATGTCATAGCAAATGCGTTGCAATCCGTTACAATTATGAATTCTAAACCTAATAAATACACTCTCCATTTCTTTAATGCGTTGACAATGGCGAGTACTTCAAGTTCATAAGAATGATAGTTCTCTTCYGCTGAACTTGTTTTTTGGCTCATGAATTGCACTGGATGATATGATTCATCCTCTGCCGTCTTTTGCAACATTACCGCGCCATACCCGTGCTTTGATGMATCTGTATGAACTTCCGTAATTGMATTTGGGTTATATAATTCTAAAACTGGAGATCGTGATAGCGAGGWCTTAAGTTGCTCGAAAGCAATCGCCTGCTCTTCTTCCCACTTGAAATGTTGATCTTTTCTCAGAAGATCTGATAATGGCTTAGCCACTAACGCATAGTTTTGARTAAATCTCCGRAAGTAGGATGTTAACCCTAGAAACTGTTGAATGGCTTTCCTGTCTCCAGGTGGCTTGAAAGCTTTAACCGCTCTGGTTTTCTCATCCGACGGACGAATTGTACTATCTTCGATTACATACCCCAAAAAATTTACTTTACGCTTCAAAAAATTACACTTTTTCCACTTAATTTGTAGCCCGGCCTCTGCTGCTACTGTAAGAACTCTCTTTAGTTTTATTAACCCCCTCTTCCTCGTCTATGGATGGAATAATTAAATCATCCATATAAGTGACTACACTTCCCTCATTTTTTAGGACTTTAAAAATCGAATGGATAAATCTACAGAATACTGCTGGTGAATTTGAGATACCAAACAGCACAAATTTAAATTCAAATTGGCCTTTCGTTGTTACAAACGATGTATACTTCCTAGAACTTTCTTCGACAGGAACATGTAAAAATCCATTAGCCAAATCTAATGTAGTAAAAACTTTATGTCCCTGGAGCTTCTCGACTACCTCGTCAATTAATGTCATTGAAAAATTATCGCGCAAAATTTTCTCATTTAATTTGCGATAATCGCAACATAACCGCTTTGATTTATCTTTTTTAGACACAAGCACAATCGGCGACGCGTAATCGGATACACTTGAAGTAATAATGTCTTCATCTAACCATTGCTTTACTTGAGCATCTATGATTATTTGATCTTGAAATGATACACGCCTAGGTGGCTGGTACACCGGTACATCGTCCTTTAAAACAATTTTCATTCCACCGGGGAAAATGTGATTCTTTTTGGCTCATATTGAGCAATCAGCTTTTCCACTTCTAACCTTTTTTCCTTATCGAGATGGGACAAATCATACGTTGATTCTGGCTCCTGTTCATCTATACAAATCATRCTAAAAGCTGCTATTTCTGCCTCTTCTGCWATTTTACCATTATATTCCTTGTTGTTSGCCTGACAAGTATCTGTTTTATCCTTCCTTAGAAACCTATCGTTCTCTTCGCTAACAATTAAATCGACTTGACCCAAAATTGAACGTCCTATTAATGCCGGATATTGAAGATCCCTATTGTTGACAATATGAAATATGATATTTATCTCAATATCRTCTACTTTAGCTCTGGTTTCGAAACTACCTAACGTGACCACTTCTGAATTACCGATTCCRCCTAGTACTCGTTTATCTTTGTTTGGCTTAACTTTAAGATTAAGTTTTTCGACTGTATCTACCCTTATAAAACACAAACGACTACCTGTATCGACTAACGAAGGAAAAATTACATTCCCTACCTTTACCATTTTAAACCTTAGTCCAAAATCTGCCTCTGAAGGTTTGAACATTACTTCGGTAATTGTGTTCAAATTGTCTTTTTCACCCTTCACTTGGAGTGTCGGACATTCGTTGCGTTTACTTCCTTGACACTGACTCTATTTTCAACTTCGACTTTTAGTTTATATTTAATTCTCTCATAAATTTTTATTTGCTCTTTTAATTCCCTTATACTCCTTATTTGGTATAAAACCGTTTTGTTCAATTTTGAATCGGGAATCCCTAGTATGAAATATTCTATTACGCTGGCTTCCTCCAGTTTTACCCGCTTCCCTATTTCCATTAAGGCATATAAAAATTCAATAAATGTTTCGTTTTGTCTTTTTTGACGATTCAGTAAAAGCCTATGTGCCTCAGCTGATGAAAATAATATTTCGAATTCATCAATTAAAGCTTGCTTTAAAGGTACCCAATCGCGGATACCGGTTTGGCTTCGAATAAATGCCCTAGCTGCTCCTCTGAGAAGCTGTTTTGCATAAATAAATTTATGGATTTCCGACCAGCCTACTATATGTGCGTTTTCTTCAAAAGATTCTGCCCACTGATTTACTTCCTGCCCGTCTGTACCGTTAAATGACGCCAAACTTTCTTCAATTTCTCTAAATGAAAAATGAGGAACTGTGGGTGGCACCGGACCTTTACCCAACACACTTTCACAAAGCGGCTCCACTGATTCGACCTCACTCTCGCTTTCATCGTCATCGTTAAGAAGACCGTAGTGTGTCAGAAGTCTGTCTCGTAATTCCTTCTTGCGTCCACTTGTCGGTAGCCCTGCTTCTTTTAACATATCCTTTAACATTGTCACTGTCATATTTAATATAGTCTGAGCCTCCATTTTGAGTAYTCCTTTACAATTATGCAATACAACAAATAATGTAAGTATATATAATCTTATTTGATAATGTTAATTTAATAAAAACTTAATAATATGAAAGTAACCTGTAATCCTCGTTGTAACACGACTGCCTCAGTCAACTCAGCCTCTCKAGTATTGCTGCTGACGATGAACATACGTTGCCGTCGCCAAGACACTTTTCACCGCTTCACGCCGACTCTGCTGCTGCAACCCGTTCGTTGCCAACTTGATAGTAGCGCGTAACGCTCGCTGACTGTTAGGCTTATGCGCTTATGTTGCCGTATCTACTGCTTCTGCTGCGCTATTTCGGCACAACCGTTTCCATGAATATTTCGCTTGAYAACATGAAACTATCTCCGATTAATGTGTTGCGAAATCTGCTGCGCTGTTGCGGTGCAACCGTTTCCAGACACTACTCGTTCGAAAACACGAGCCAACTGCAACCTATTTGTTGCCGATTCTGTTGCGGCGCAACCGTTTCCACACAATGCTCGTTCGAAAACACGAGCCAACCGCAACCTATTTGTTGTGGACGATTCGCTAAGTCCGACCCGCTGGAACGAATGATCCACCGATGTGCAGAAATAAAACACTGGACCAACTTCACTTCACAAAAGATCACCGATTCGCTTTATTACAGAACTGGTGCTTTAATACAACTTTACAATGTGTAGATCAGTTTTACTTTTCTTATAGAACTGGTGMTTTTACTTTAACTGTACAATAGATCAAATGAGTACAACTTTAAAAAAGATATGGAAATGCTTTATCAACTTTCTTGGTCGCCGTCCGCTATTCAAGTGAAGTCCGTTATTGGTTTTATTCCGTTCCGAGTCCTCTTTTCGTTCAGTCAGTGTTGTCGTGTGTCAAAAACGTTCAGTCCGCACGGTCGCATTTCTTCGTCCTACATATATTTATTTAGATAAGTAAGACTTTTAAAATAGTATATAAGCTTTACAAATTTCACAATAAAATCAGACTAAAATAGTTCTCGTAGAATGAAGTAATTCTCACAGAACAAGACTAGATGATATTTGACAAAGCTTATCCTTTGTTCATATATATTACAAAATAAATAAATATTTTGTAACGAGTTTTTTTTTTTTTTTGGTACTTCTATAAGAATGTTTTTAACATACTCACGTTATAAGCTTTATAGCATGCATTATGTTCTCATTAGTAATATTGCCTCGATATTAACCTTTCATAACACAAAATGAGTAAAGCAAGACACAGGTATTCTCTGCAAGGCTAGCATTCCTTCATCAACATAATATAATTGCTGCTGCTTAAACAGTCACTGGTAAAGAGAACATGTGTTAAGAACGTCTAGATTCTAGGTTCTTAATTTTTCGTTAGATTAGTAAATATATATATTGTATAATCAAATTTTGAACTCGTATTAGCACTGAATCTATAGAAATCAATAAGTTACATACAATACCTTGCGTAATAAGTCAGAGTACGGTCGAAATACAATTTACTAACCTGGCTGGGACATTTCAGAAAAAGGGAATTAATTTAGAACAATAAAAATGCAGATTGTCTCACTCGTTTACAAATTAAAATAAAGGACATATCTCTTCAACGAATTCCATATGATTTTAATTAGTAGTAATTACAAAACTAAAATATGTGAAAACATATTGTATCTTATTTTCATTTCTCCATTGGTTTATATGACATATGAATACAGCGTACATATAGATTTAATAATAATAGTTCGTCACTTGTATCTTTAATGTAGTGAATCGATTACTCTGGAGGAGATTTATGACTGCTCCATCCATGAAAACATTTTGTAAAACGTTTAGACTCCTTATTTTTTAAAGTGAGGAAAAGCTTTCGTGATCTTTCAGGTTGTTTTATGCGTAAGTGTTGTATGTAAACCTAAAACAAAATTATTACATTATAATTTTTTGGCATGTTTAAAGAAATTTGTATATACAACGATTTTAACGAAAACCTTATATATAATGGAAGCTAACTTATTAAATAAAAAATGCACTATAAATACAATCCTTACTTAAGACACGGTAGCTAAACCGTGTGTAGCATCACTTTGAGAAGCCACATTAAAATATTTTATTAAGCGCGTCTGTTCACCGAAAAAATTATAAATATATTTATGGTATGAGGTATATCTATTAGAAAATCTAAATAGGCTGACACGAATGGTGTTCCATAATTCGCTTTTGACTTATACGGAACCATCCTTCCAAATTATATCTCGAATGATTTTTGTATTCGGTTTGAAATCTTACCTGTGCTGATTTATACGCCAATTTTATTTCCACTTCACTACATTTGGATCCAAGCCATAAGAATACTTGCTCACCATTATCCAATATCATTATGTCATCATCTGCCAAATCATCTTGACAAAAGTCAGTACATTTTTCTGCAACTGTGAAATAACCTTTCTCATTGGAACATCGGAAAAGCCGGGTATAATTCATAAAATCAGCATTTGTTTCGTAAGCTTTGCGTCCACCCAAAGCAACCCAGAAAAAATTCTCTGGCTCTTCTCCTTCGTTTAAAATCTGTAAACTAACCCATGGATTATTAAACATTTTCTCAGCGATTTCTTGTATAAGCTTTGCTTCCTCTGGTGCTGACTTTGAACCCAACCAAACATAAACTATACCCGATTGCACTTCATCTTGAATGTCAAAAGGTACGTATAAAATATAACTGCAAAAATCTTAGCATTAGTTTGTTTACTATAATTAGTTCTAATAAAAATATACCAAAAGGCTGAATTTAAATTTGCTGCATTAGGTTGAATTTGAATGAGACGAGTACACAATGCTCCACCATTTGATCTTAAATGAAAGAACTCAACAACAGGTTTTACATCTTTCGATTTATCCTTTCGCTTCCCGATGTGAATTATAAACTTGCGTTTAAAATGAGCCATGAATTTCAAATTTTCTTGTTGTTGATGAATGCGTACTACTTCTAATTCTTCTCCAAACATTGCCTTGAATTTTTTTTGTAGAGTAAACGTAAATGTCAACCAGCCCATATTGCTGGCATTTCGCCCCTGCCAAAAATAAACTACGCATTGGATTTCATCATCAGATGGTTTAATGGGGTCCACTTCGAGGTCTTCTTCGTCAACGGGTATACAATAGCGACACAAAAATACGTAACACTCTCCCATATAGAAATTTCCCAACTCTTCTTCTGGCAATCGTACAAATTTTTTTCCTTCCAATACGAAGGCTTCCATTGCTTCAAGGTCATAGTTCCAATCTTCCTCCAGTTGTTCAGCCTCATTAAGCGGCATTGCATTTTGGCGAGGCATAAAAAGAGCGGCTAAATCAGCACGAGTCTCTTGCTTACGAGCCCATTTGGTCAAATCTGCTCCAGTTTTAGCAACAGATTTAGCAGTTCTTGTGAAATCAACTGCCATAACTTCATCCCAACCAACAAATTTTGATTTAAATATTTGAGTCTCTGTTTCTTCCTGCAAGCGACTGATCAATGCGAAAGAAGGGCGATTTATCATATGAAAAAGTTCTCGTGATAACTTTATTGCCGCTGCTCGCACCAGTCGAGTCGATTTTTTTCCAAACCACACAAACAAATCTGTATAACTGTCTAATATGTAAACATTTTTGCTATTCAAAAAAGTATGAACCAATTTTTGATTTGCTAATTCCACTTGGGGTAGCTCCAAATAGCCCATGCCGAGTTGAACCTGATATAGATGAGGAATAACCGGTTCAAAACTATCCGGAACATGCTGATGAATTTTTTTCTCTGATATGTCTTGTGAATCAATGCCAAGGTTTTTCCAAAAGTCGTCGCTTTCTTCTCCTACAAATTACATGACAAATAAATAAAAAATTATTTTAATGCAATTTTGTTACTTGCCCTGTGTTTCTACAATGATGTCACATTTATTTTTTCTCTCGGTTTTATTAATTTTTTCTGCCATTAGCCGCGTTTTAGAATTTAATGTATTTTTTGATGCGCAACCAAGCCAAATATATAATTTGATACCACAGTCCAACATAAAGACAAATCGAGAATCAAGGGAGTCAAAATGTAATGCTACGGGCTCTAAATGAATCGATGAACCAGCCGCATGCACACGATATAAACGTTTGGTGTATAACATATCTTCAACTGTGTAAAAACCTGTTGCTGTTCGACCTCCCTCAATATATGTAACTTCAGTATCAAATAGTTCCAAAAATTCCTCAGATTCATCATCTATTAAGAAAATATATTGAAAAAGTCAATGATATAATATCAAATTCTGTCGTTTTGAAGGTAAATTTAATAATTATACAAACTTACAATGCTTACCATTAAGATTTGTTTGTGTTAAAAATATATAAAAACATGAGTCCAATCAATGAGTGAGCATGAAAATAAAGACACCCACTGAGAACTCTGTAATATTATTTTTTATTTATATATATACATATATATATATATTCCATATTTATAGCGGGCATAGCTAGCCAAGAGACATGGGTATATGAGTTTGACATGTAAACAAGTCAACAATCATCGAAATGGAGTGAAAAAACCACGCCAAAACCGCTCAAAAGTAAAGGTCATGCTTATTGTTTTTTTCGATATTCGTGGCTTGGTGCATCATGAATTTGTTTCGGAAGGGATAGACGGTCAATGAGGAGTTCTATTTGGACGTATTGAGGAATGTGTGTGAGAAAATCCGTTAGAAACGGAATTTTTTCTATTTACATAAAAATTTTAAGACGCTTTAATTTTTATTTCTCTTACCTGTAAAGGATTTAGTTCAACAAATCTGGCTTTTAATACTCCCCAAAGGAGTAGGAAATACCGAGTCATAAATTTGGCCTTAGGAATAATATATTAATAGCTGGTATTCAATACTTTCTCATGGATTACGGAATTTCCGACTTAAATATTTCTTTCAAAATATTAATAGGGATTGTTCAACATAATATTCTATCATATTCATGGTAATACGTTTTAAGCTAAATGAGAGGCCAACAAAAAAAATTAACTATGCAACATGCTTCAAGTGTCACGTAGACGAACCGCACAAACTTTGCGTAAAAGAAGACAACTCTACTCTCTATATTTTATTGCTGAAAAGAAATTGCTGGTAATCTATTTTGACTTGCGATAGTTAGATTAACTATTAACTAGATTTAAAACAAGTTTTTACAAATTGCAAACTTTCATTTAATAAAGCTTCAGGAGCATATCGTCACCTGCCATGCAAAATAACGTAGTAACATTTTTGGAAATTTACAGAGGCATGAATGAAACACGACATAAAATGGAACATGAGTGAAAAAAAAATTGATACTGTCTAAAAGTGGGTTATAACTGAGCTCAGAGCCTGAAAATGTTGAACATTTGTAATATTATGTATGTAATTTGAAGTAGTGAAGAGTAATCAATAAGACACTCAATTTCGAATTTTTTGATGATACTCATTTTGCATTTCATGTGACGATATAGTCCATCAACACCAACTGTCAAGTCTAATTTTGGACATCATCTCAGCAAGTCACGGCTATAGAAGCTCCATACATTGAAGAAATTAGCGAGGAAACTAACACAAATACACATACATTAAAAATAATAATTTTTTGCTCTTACATTATGTGTTAGATTTTTACAATTAAGTAGGAATGTTATTCAGAACTTTTCACTCCACGGCTTTCCAGTATTTTAATAAGAATTAAAAGCCGTGGAAAAATAAAAATTCTATTGAAATTTCCATTTAATTAAGTATTCCTGACTTTAGAGAATAAAATTGAAACATACTAACTATATGAACTTCCTGTTTTGATCAAATTTCACAATATTCAGTGGCGGAAAAAATCGACATTGTCTGCTTTGTAGTTTTGAAAGTATACATTTTTTAGGATAAGTAAGGAAGCGCTGGGTTCGGGTGTAACCGAACCTTTCATACTCTTACACTTTCAAGGCATGGAAATACCTTCAGGTGCGTAAGGTTTATCAGTTATGTGTGTGTTAGAGGTGCTGAATAATGACCGCAATACTGCAATCGTGCTACTAACTTGATACTCTGCTGCTGACACTCAGCTGATACTTGTTGCTTAGAAATATGGAAATTTTAAAGCATATAATTGCTGACGAAATTATGAAAAATGGGAACAAAACAAGACAAAGAAGATGTAGAAGAAATCCTGTTTTGTTTGAATAATATAATATTACATAAGTTTCGTCGAATTCGCTAAAAAAAAATCCCAGATAGTAAAACCTCTACTTTTTTTGAATTCCTTTTTATGTTAAAAACATTTTATGAAACTTATTCTAAAGTAGGCCCCTAATCGGACTAAGACTAGAGCGCTAGCACCCACATTTTATTCTTTCCACTAAAAAACTGTTCCAGGCTTAAACGACTTCGGACCAATAACTTTGTGTCGTCAGCATTTAATTTCACTCTAAGAAACAAATAATGTTGGAAATATGAAGATGAAAACCACGCATTATATATCACCTATACTTTTAAATTCCACTCTCCATGTATGTAAACATATGTACATACATAGAGATGTGTACGCACCGTTTGAATTGTCACGCGTAATAAAAGCTTAGTCTTTATACAGTGGCAAGCAAAAGTGAGTGCATGTTTGAAAATTCCATGTTTCAATATCTGTAACTTCCTCAATATTAAATCAAATTCAACCATATTTTCAGCATTAATTATGTATGTGCTAAAAAAAATTAAATTTGTAAAAAAGTTAAACTAAATCAAAAAAATTGACTTACGGTCAAAAACTTAAAATATGAGCAATGCACTCAGTTTTGCACATTATGAAATCTTCGAATAAATTGAGTATATACACAAGAAATTTAATATTTTGTCCAAAGACCTTTGTTTTTTTTTAGCTTCTGGAATTTATGTTCGTCCAACCATTTTTCACTATCTTGGCCGTATGTTTCGGGTCCCCATCCTGGTGAAAAACCATTTCTTCCTCTGGATATGTGCACTCGTCCAAAAAATCCGGCAAATTTGTTTGTAATATTTGAAGATAGTCTTCCTTCTTCATGATGCCTTCAATTTTTACGAGTGGTCCCACATGCCACCACGTGAAACACTCCCATATCATTAAGTTTCCACTACCATGTTTCACAGTTTGCTTGACGTGGTGTTTTTGAATGCGTTCAGTGGTCTGCGCCAATAATATTGTTTGCCGTCGGACTGAAATCTATTAATTTTACTTTCATCAGACCAGATAACCCTTTTTCAGTCATCCTCTGTCAAATCCTGATACTTTCTGCAGAATGAACGCTTTTATATTTTTATCAGACAGTGCTGGTTTCTGTTTTTTATAACGGATTTAAAACCAATTCTGTGTAATGCTCTCTGAGCAGTAGAGGCACTAACGTTCTTGTCCAGCATTTCAGCCGCTTGTTTGGGTGTTACCCGCTAGGGTGGGTCGATTCCCGACTTTTTTCGATTCGGGATTTCTAATAGTGCGGAAAAGTTGCCTTAGTACTTCCTGATTCCAATGCAACTTTTTGTTTTGAGACAACTCCGGCCTTGAAATTTCGGAAATTCGCCTAAAATCGTGAAATCGTCTACCTAGCGCCTGAAATACGCATCTCAAGGCAAAATGTATCAAGCAAAAGTTATTTGTCACGTCATTTGATACCGAAATGGTATAAGTGATCATGGCCGTAGGACGAACCGTTCCCGAGATATGAGCGAAAATGTGGCGCGCCACAGCGCAAGGTGAAAATTATTGCAGCTCTCAGCTAACCTGTATTGGTCACCCAGAACCCACTGCGTGGAGGTGGCTGCTCTTCGGGTTCCTCCCAAGCCCAACCCAACCAACCAACCATATATCAGGCTTGTTTTAGTCTGAATCTGTGTCAAATTTATTAATTAAATCAGTTTATGTACTAAACTTTGGCACTTGTTGCCTAGATTTCAGTGTAGAGCGTATAAAACGATCACGAGATTGGGGGCCAATAACTTTAGAAGATGTCTCTGTCATCAGTTTGATGGTTCTCTCGACTGTCACTGAATTTCCATACCTCTTCAGTGTCACCCGACAGTCCTTTTATGAGTTCTTCGTTTGAAACTGAACAAAGAAGAAAGGCCGTCAAAATACAGCCCATATACAGAGTCAATACTTTCGATGTTTTGGAGCTTAACTCCAACACTATTTTTTGCCCGACTAATCTTGCATTTGTCACAAAGCTAGCCTGATCCTCTGTTATCAAACCTGCCAAACACAGGACATTTCTGTCTAAATTTAARTTTAGATACAGACATTTTGAGTTCTGTGTTCTGTTGAGAGAATATAAGTGATAGCACTCGGCGAAATCAACGACAAGAGTGAAGGAACTCGATGAAAAAATATTTATGTGGWGACCAGTCCGAACGTGTCATATGGTGCAGGGAAATGCACGTAAGTGATAGAACTCGGCGAAATCACCGACAAGAATGAAGGCCGTTCCCACGACAGCCGGGTCTACGAAAACCGGAACGGACCCGGATTTTTATCCGGCCAAGGACTGTCAACTCGGCAGAATTCTGCCGTTACAACAACAACAACAACAACAACAAGAATGAAGGAACTCGATGAAAAAATATTTGTGTGGAGACCTATCCGAACGTGTCCTTTGGCGTAGGTGAATGAATGGGAGTGATAGCACTCGGCGAAATCAACGTCAAGAAGTGTGGTCGTAAGCCGATTTTCACCTTGCGCTGTGGCGCGCCGCGCCGCATTTTCGTCGTATCTCGGGAACGGTTTATCCTACGGCCATGATCACATACCATTTCTGTAGCAAATGACGTGACAAATAACTTTTGTTTGAAATTTCAAGGCCGGAGTTGGGGTTGAAGATGCAACCAGATCTCAAAACAAAAAGTTTAAATTTGGTGCCATTGCACTAGCATCCGCATCTGGTTGGACCTCCCTCGTAGCAGGTGCTAAGAAACAAAGCATTTTAGCCCTGAACAGCACAGAAGCCGAGTACATTGCCTTATCCATGGTGGCAAAAGAAGGAGTGTATATTAGGAAACTGGTCGGCGAAATCGCTTTTGAAGCCATTGAAACGATACCAGTGTACAGCAATAATCAAAGCGCACAATGTTTAGTAAAAGTATAGAAAATGAATATTTTTCTGCAGAAAATATGATTGCTGATGCGTTGACAAAGAATTTGAGTAGGACTAAACATGTAAAATGTATTAATTTAACGGGACTACTGTAAAGTAAATATTTTTTATTTTTTGAAATAGTTTCTAGAAGGAAATTATTTTGTTTATTTGTATTACTTTAAGGATGTGTGTGACATTCAGCATGTCGCGGATAACCGGGCGACCTTCTCTGCTGCCGAGATGAATAGGGTGATGTGAGCCTTTTCTGCCGAGGTGTTAGCAGCGGTCTCTATCAGTAACCAATCCGTTCCGAGTGTGCACTGAGCGCAAGATTAGTAGTCTGTGTTGCCCGGGCGAACGGTAAAGCGAAGAACAGGAGTCAGGGAAATAGGGTAGGTGCATAGGCATCGAAGGTTCAGCCGCTTATGTATTTCGGCGCGCCCCTACGATGGTAAAACAGAAAGGAATCGAACTTTATATAAAAAAAAAACAATACAGTAAAACAGTAGCAGTAACATTTATGCTAATATACCCAAATAACGCTAGGAACAGACTCTCAAAGGACACCAATAATGGAAAGTGGTCCCTTTAAGCGGACCTAATGACTTAGTAGATCGCAAATTAAGATGCTCAGGGTAGAAAAAGCAACGCGAACAAGATTTTCGGCATAAGAGCTGCACACGGCGACCACGTAGTTGAACTTGGCGAGAAAACCAGGGGGTTGTCTTAGCTGGCAACATAACAAAGTTACATGATAAAGCCTTTGAAGAATACTAAAAAAACAAAGTCCGACTCCTCTTAAGAATTATAAAACTACCCTTGGGGAAGAACCTGAGAAATGAAAATATAAGAAGGAATAAGCTGATATGATAACCGTCGCTAACAAAAAAAAAAAAAACAACGGACACAAATTTAAAGAAAGAGGAAAACAGCTTACAAGCATCGACCTAAGCCTGATGCGATAGTCATTTCGCGAACCGGGAACATGACATTCAGCGATATCCCATGTTAAAAAGAGAAGATGCCCTGCAGAAATGAGCGAAAACGTAACACGGATCAGAAATACGGATAAAGGTGAAATTTTGATAGAGCTTAAGCACAGGATCTCGATGAAATAACCGGCGAAAAGACTTTGGCAATACTATTCGCACGCAAAAAACAAAGAACTGGGAAAAAGGGCACTTCGCGAAGACATGCGGCAAGGAACCGTCCTGCAGTGAATGTAAAAAAACAAAGAAATGAGAACTCTTACCATCAGACAGGTAGAAAGCAATGTCCTCTTTACCAAAAAGCGTGTAAAAGAGACACAATTTGAGAGTTTCACAGCTCAACCTCAATCACTGCGAAGCAGCTCAAAAACTATGGCTGTGGTAATTTTACGTTCACTAGTAGTTCTCTACTTCGGTCGTATAGAAGGCAAGCGACTTGTATACGCACAGTAAGTCAGTCAAAATCGTTGAAACCAGAAGCTGAAACCCTTGATGAGGAAATATTCAAATTAATGCTAGATGACAATCCGAACTACGCGACAGATACAGAACAGAAGGCTGAGTACCTAGTTAAACACATCAGCAAAGCCTGCGATACAACTATTTGTAAAAAAAGAAGACTCATACAGGGACCTGTATACTGGTGGAATGAGACTATTGAAGCTCTGAGTA